GGTGTAACATCTGTAGTAGGAGGTGCAGAGGCCATGGGTGTAACATCTGGAAGAGGCCGTTGGAATGATACTACAATGCATTTCCATAACTGTTCTCTGACCGATAGCGCAGGTGCAGTGACCCTCATCATGGTATGAGAGTGTGCCTCAACAGATGTTTTTGTCTGCAAGACAAAAAATATTTCATGTAGTGGAAATTGTATTAAATAAGAAAGTAAAACAGAAAGTTGAATAAGTACATCTAATTATCTGAGTATTGAGGATATGAACTTGTACACCAAGTTAAAATATTTGACCTTTAAAAGGACCGTGGAGATTACTGCATTGGAAATGGAATGTTCATGCCTTTGAACTGAATAGCATTCTTCATATGGGCATGTACATGCCCCGCAGCCTCAGCCTTCTTTGCTGGCTTGAAGGTTGGGGAAATAGGGCAGAGAAAATGCAACAAGTGAAAACCTGACTGAAAACTACTGGCTGTAAACCAGCATCAAAAATGGATATGCCCATTTTTTTAAATATAATAATTCTCATATATAGGACTAATCACCACATAATGCCTAAAAAACACGTTAAATAAAGTTGTCTGGTTTGCTAAACCTAACCTAATGCAGGGCTAGTAGTTCATGGGGGAAAAAGGCTAAAAACTGAACAAAAATGGCATAGTGATGACTTTGAAATCAATTACACTGTCTTGTGTCCTGTTACCTCCAGATGTACATCAGTGTTTTCTGGCTTCTAAATTTCTGAGTTTTTGTTTATTGCATTGTGAACTTGAAATTGTGTGCCATCTGTTACATAAATGCTACAACAAATACGGTATTTGGCCTAAGAACAACAGTAGAAATTTTCAGTTTCAGCAGGCTGGATGTCAGGCCACTTATCACCTCCATGTCCCTGTGTCCCCAGAAAAATTATTTTTTTTTTAAATAGGCATGAATTCAGAAAAATTTAGAAAGCAGAATACTATTTGCTTTTTGAGGTGTTGTGCTTAATGCAACCTCCAAGGTAACCATTACTGGAAGTTTGAGGGGAATGACCAAGACGAACAGCCAATGCAAGTTTATTTTATTTTCAAAGCTCCCGATTCACAAATTCTTTTACAAAATACTTTACACAAAACCAAGCATTGGTTCACTGCAGACACAAGCATTGACCAAAGTAATTCTGGAAAATACACATTTCTGCACATGACTTTCAAACATAGTTTTGTGGAATTTGGTGTTTAACTTGAACTTTTAAAGCAGACCTGTGAAAGAATTTGAAACAACTTGACATGTTCAAATGACAATAGTCTTGGTGACACATTAGGATAAGTTTTACTGGCATGTTCTTGGACAGATGTCTCTTGAGCTGGACTGCTATCAAGAAGCAGCATATCTAATCAATTCACCTGAAGCTGGAATTATGCATCTCATAATGTAACTGTAATTAATCTAAACACATTGAATCATGAATTTAATATGCTATGCAAAATACTGGGGGGAGATGCATTTAATTTATTCAACCAAGTATAAACACAGAGCTACAAATGAAATGCAATATCAAGTCCTACTACTTGCTTCAATTGCTTATAATGTGGAAATAGGTGAAATGATGACACTGATGACATTGTGACACTAGAGTGAAGACATCTCTGTGCCACTTCACTACCAAGGGCAGGGTCAAGTTCTTAAGTTTCACCATTTGTTCATACACAAATTTAACTGCAGTGTTTTGGGATAAATAAGGATTGTCTGCAATTAATTGGACTAATTAAATTGGGGGAACAGATTAAAACTAAATGCAGATGTACACAGATTTGGAGACATAGAATTGTAGGTGCTTGGCCTGCATTTCTGTTTTGTTTTCCAGGTTAGTTACGTTGTAGGCTAGGGTTGGGTGATAAAATGATAACGATAATTATCACAGGATAATATCCCTCGATATGAATGTGCCAAATGCTCAATATGTTTTCGATATTTCGGTGACTTGCTTTGCATCAGAAAAAGACATTTTCTATGTGATTACTTGTCAGGACCAGCAGCACAAGCACAACCTAGAAAAGGAAGGATCTATTCAACAGATAACAGAATGTATTAAGGCAGGTAGGCAGACAACTGACAAAAATGTCAAAACAGGTCAACTCGCCAGGAGAGCAAGCTGAGCAATAAGGGTAATCCAGCGAAATCCAAAAGGAAAGTCCTCAGGAAAATTCAATCCATGATAAATCCCGACAGTAACAATCCACACATAGATAACAGATATAACAGATAGAAAGAATGTGGTGGCGTTTTTGCAGCGATGACTAAAATAAGCTGTTCATCTTCTATCTCAGACTTGTGAAAGAGAAAATGCTGTTTGGTAGTGATGGCCAAAATGAGGCTTTGTGAACCATTTACGACTTTTTGAGACCACGTGGCGCTTTTTGTTTCCTTTTCGGCATGCTTTCAGACCTTTAATGAACAGAGGGCTCCATCTAGTGGGCTTAGAAAATATAGCTAATTGTTCTGAAAGCGTCATTTTGGTCAGTTTTTGTCACATTTGGATGATAGAGAATAGTTTACCTCAGGAGAATAGTTAGTTAACCCAGGAGTAAAAATCAACCTTTAAACTGGAAAGAACAATTTGCAATAATGACCAATATCGACCAATATGAAAAATTTTATCATGATAACATTTTTGCCCATATCCCCCAGCTCTACTGTAGGCCTGGCAAAACAATGCACAGGTACACTAAGACTTGAGTATAACATCTGCCACCGCCTTTGGTTGTCATGGGGATTTAGCATCCCTGAACTCCTGCACTGTCAAGGTTTCTTTTTTTCTTTTTTTTTTTTTTAAAGGAAAGACCTGTCAGGTACTTCCACAATGAAGCTTTTAATATGTTATACTCTACAACTAGAACTCCATGAAAGCAAACCAATAATAAATAGAAATTCATACACTCCACAAAATGCTACCTTTATGCTGAAATGAGCAAAAAGCATCTGTATCCTTAGTACTATACTGACACTAATTTGTATACACTGACACCTAATCTACTTGTAATGAGATATGTTATCCATTTAAAATGCAGAGCAGAGCTGAAACGAACGATTTCACCAAGAACAACCTAAAAATAATGTATGAAACATCCAGCAAAGCTACACAGTGAACATTACGCCAAGCAGCTGACAGCCTTTTACACAAGTTCTCTGGGACAGTAGTAAAGCATTAAGAAAAATAAGAGGAATAAACAGCTGAACACGGTTCAGATTATCATTGGGTGTGTCAATAAGCGCAATGCCATGTAGAAGCATTTACTGTACGCCCACCCCACCGCTCATCGCGACACATGGTGTCACGAAGCCAGGGGGGAAGGCTCTTCACGTTTAAAAAAAGGTGTTCATCACACATCATGCTGGTCTCTTTCATATCGACCCCCATGAAACCAAGTGGGCCATTAAAGAAAACAGGACTTCAAACAAAAACAGTTACCTGTCCTGATCGGTAATTACTGAGCATGCTGGAGACCTGGACTGCTTTGAGAATTTGTAATCGTTTCATGAATCCAGATTTCTTTCTGCAGCATTTTGTCATTAATTCCGATTCTGGCGTCAACTGTCCACATCAGCTGATACTCTCAGTTGCTACTGCTAATATTTCCTATTGCTACAGCTGCTAGGTCTACCTTAATGCTAACAACTGCACACCTACGTATATTACAGCGGCACACCAGGAGTGAATGGCATTAAGGAAAATAGGCCTCCAGCACTACTAACACTGACACTGTGATAATACATGTTGCTGAGGCCATGAATGGGTTTAAGGGATCTCAATGCAAATGACCCCTCCTGCAATCATTGTTCTTTCTAAACTTCCTTAATGTACAAGGAGCTTCTGCATCCAGCACTCTACCTCCCGCCAAACCCACCTCCATACTGTAATTATACAATGAAATGTTGCCCAAGACCTCTCTTTAACAACAGTTAAAAATGTGACTACTGTAAACTATCATAAACATTCATATATACTGTGTACATGTGTATCTCTCATATATTAAAAATCTGTAATTAACTTAATAAGATACAATTTGTATCAACTGTAAAAGGGTTTCTTATTATTAAGCCCCCAAGGTTTGTGTAGCGGTACGGTCTCTCCTGCCAGCTAGGAGGAAACCACCAAACGAAAGTCTGACAGCTATGTGGCGGGTAGGCGAGTCCTTCCCGCTGTGTGACGGAGATGGTTCCCCCAGCATCACCCGAGCGCAGGTGCACAACCACGGTGACGGCTTCAAATTCCAACCCCAGAAATATTTAGGTGGGGAACAGGAATGCAGATAACTTCAGAGTGAGCTAGCAAGCACTGACCCCTCTACACATTTGGTCACCGTTTTGCTGGACAGCAGTAAATCCAAAGCGACACACACATCCATCTCCATAAGTAACCTAGACAGGGCATACCCTTGCCGGTTTCTATGACAACACCTTTTGTAACTTTACTGTAACAAAAAACATGACAAACAACATAACAAAAACAAAGCATAAAAGAATAATAATGATCAAATAAATTAAGCAATACATTATAGTGCATCAACCACACGGGCTTGCATATCCTCAAACAGCATAAGTCTTGTGATTTCAATGGCATCTTGTTTTTGGGAAGAAATTTCATTTTTTTACAATAAAAAGAAATGATGCAAAGTGAGTAGAAGCGATGGATTGTAAAGAGGACAGCCAATCCCCCGGCATCAGGGACTGTCAAGGCATTCTGGGTAAAAACAATATCTGGCGTATACAAAAATAAATACATCATTAAGGTGACTTGGGGTTAGGGGTCATCATGTGTATTTCATTACCCTGTAAATCACAGCAGATGGCTGAAACTGGAACGTTTTCGTCCTGAGCACCCAAACCTTGATCACAGTTAAACGGCAGTAAACAGTTTTAGCTTTACTATGTCAAAAAAAACCAGTTAAATTGATTTGGCCAATTTTCTATTTCCTACCCTCTGCCTTGGCGCCCGGCGCTCTCTGATGAACCACAGCAAACCTACAGCCTCGGGCTCATGTGATCTGATTGCCAGGATTTTCTGCTTCAGTCTTACGTTGGATAAACATCAATGGAAAAGTGCCTTAAGGATCAACACCTCCTTGCTAAAACTCATTTTACAAAAAAAATGAAAATTAAAATTAACACAATTTGCGAAAATAAATAATAATAAACTGACTTTTCTTTCTCTTTCAGTACACACACACACACACACACACACACTATTAAAAGCCCTCTCTATGAACAAAACTTTGCCAGCTGTGCAGATACATTTAGGCAATTTTTTAAAAATTAAAACGATGGAAAGCGACAGTCTTCTGCAGCCAAGTGCTACTGTTGGCCTGCATGTGCACTGGGGCCTCAGTGCCACCTAACCCCATCACAGTAATGAAGACCATGTCACCTGTCACCCCCATAATGCATCACTAATGCGAAGCAGCCTGTGGCCCAGGAGAGATGCAGTGATTCACTAAAGGAGAACAGGAGGAGCCCCAGCCCTCCTCAGTACCCCGAGGATTTCTCAGCCAGGATCGCTGCCGCCAGTTCCTGTGGATCCGTCACATGGGGGTTCCTACCCATCACCAGCCGCACCAGTTCTGGGGGAAAGATGTTGCAGAGATTGACGAAGACCTTCTCCCGCACATCCTGGTAGCGGCTCAGAGGGGGCGGCTCCGCCGGTGGGTGGCTGGGGTTGGGGGAGCGGCCCCAGGGCTGACGCCAGGCCTGCTCGCGGTTTTCTGGCGCATTCTGAAAGGCAAAGGGTTGGTAGCAGGGCTGGCTGGGTGGGGGCGCTGGCATGGCTGGGGGGGGGCGGTGGTGGCCGTGATACGAGTCCCAGCTGCTGTAGGGCCCCCCTCTCTGCAGCAGGGACTGCCGGTAGAGGCGGGAGTCGGAAATGCTCTCGGCACGGGTGGAAGCCAAGCTGCGGCCGGGGGGGGAGGCTGGGGGACGTGGGGGGGTCAGGGGCAGCGAGGTGCAGTCGCTGTGGCAGCCGGAGCTCACCACCGGGTGTGTGGGCATGTAGGGCAGCGAGCGCTTGTCCTCACGGCCAAAGCCCTGCGCCCGGCCCGGGCCCTCAGTGTGGCGATGGTAGTACTGTGCCGAGAGAGCAGCGGCGGGGGGGGCATACATGTAGGAGTGGGGGTAGCCGGGGTACTGCGGGTAGCGGCGGTGGTGGCGGCAATTCAGGTCATCCAGGGGAGGGTCTGGGGAGAGCACACGGCTGCGCTCGCCAAAGGAGTCGGAGCCACTGCTGCCGCAGCTGACCCCCCCCTCGCTGCCGCAGTCGGATGGCTCGGAGCCCCCCCGCAGAAGGGCCGCCTCTGTCGCCAGGCCCAGCGATGCACAGCCGCTCACCACCGAGTAGTAGCTCAGGTCCGGCGAGTCACAGCGTGGGTACACTTCCGAGCAGGAGAAGGAGGCAGCGCCCCCTACAGGCTGCGGCCTGGTGTCCTGCGGAAGAGCACAGGCCAGGCCCTGGCTGGGGGGGGCGCTGCTCCTCCGACGCGTCTCCCCTTGCGTGCCGTCGTCCAGGTCCCCACAGGAGTAGGCGCGCACTGCAGGGTCCGACTGCCGTTTGGAGCCGGGCCGCTTGGCGGCGTCCGGCCGGGGGGCACAGGGGGCGCTGTGGCTCTTCACCAGCACGCCGTCACCCAGGCCCCTGGAGCTCCGGGCGCTGGCACGCAGCTCATCGGCCACTGAGCGCTGCGGCTGCGGGCCCCTCTCCGGATGGTGGAATTTGCATTTGTGCCCGTAGGTGCACTTCTTACCTGGGGGGGGACAACATCGACGTAAGTAAGGGCACGAGTGGGTCTGGGAAGGCGAGCTCGCAGCGGGCGGGACGCACGGCTCACCGTAGGGACACGGCTGCTTTCTGTGCTCTGGGAGCACGGGCCGCTTTCGCAGGAAGTTGTCCAGGCTGGGGCCGTGTCGCCCCAGTGGGTCATCGGGGGGCATGAACCTGCGCAGGCGCAAAGCTCAAAGGTCAGAGGCCACATCACATAAGAATGATTTGCCTCACATCATCAGTGGCATGTTGTCATGACAATGGGGAGAAAGGGGCACCCAGACTGCCAGCATCATTTAATGATGGCCGGCACTGTTCAGATGAGTGCAAGCTTAGTGCATCACTTAAAAATTAATCTGTTGGATAAATTTAAAAGAATTTAAATTAAAAAGAACCAAATCTGAAAGAGTATTACAGTATTAATATGTGCAGTAGTGGCATTAACCGCCTGGAGTCGACGACATCGTCGGCGATGCCGCGTATCTTTCTTGTGTATTTCAGTTCATAACTCGCTGAAATCTTGATATAGAAACATGAAAAAAACACTGACTAAATCCGTAATCTGTCTTCTTTTCAAAACGCCCATTGTCGGAAGTATTAAAGTTTTTAAAATTAGGTTAAATCAGCAAAAAGGGAAACCATGTCACCTTTCTTTTACCTGCGTCGGGGGCGTGTAGAACCGCTCTCACCCGAAGATCGCTATTCACATTCTAAATAGCCGCATTAGCGCGTATTCAATTCGCATTCGCATGGTAATTTGAGGAACAAGGCAACGGTGAAACGCGATCCAGATACATCCCCTTCAGCGCCATAAAAGGGGGTTGGGGACGTGGCCAGGTGACAATGGCTCATTCATACACATGAAAGTTGCTACATATTCAATGAAAGGAGCCAGAAATAGTGACATGAGTTAGGTTTTTCTTATTTATTTATCCAAATTAATGTTGCATCTACACCATTTAGTCATCTTCAGGTACACAAGACTTTGGTGATCAGATATCTGGGATCAAAACAAACTGCCAGCATTGCTTACTATGTAGTTTTATAATGTGTCTGCAAGTGTTCCAAACTGCATTTTGCAATGTCTATACTTTGATGTCAAATTACAAACTTCACATAAATCTGACATATTTACAAAGTACACTAAGATTAAGATGAGTTTTATGCCAAAGCAAATATATAAGAAATAGTTTATTTGCCATGAATTAAGTTTATGATATTGAATGAAATGTGTGACCATGCCCCAGTCAGTGAAAGTGTGTCCCCTGCCCTAGACTCCAGAGGGTTAAGCACTAAACCACCGCATCAGGCACATGATTGATAAATGATCACCATCATCATCGCTGAGGCCAGCACCAGCCCCCCCTTACTTGTCGTTGACAAAGGAATACATGAGCAGCCTCTCGTCGATGAACTTCTTCCACTCAGGCTTCTCATTGGCCAGGTCTCTGTAGTTATCATTGGACACAATGATGCCGTCAGACTCATGCGCCAGCTTGACGATAAAGCGGTCATCGTAGCAGACGACGCGCCGGCCCTGGACGCGCCGCGACGGTGTGAACACCAGGATCTTCTCCTTCTCTAGCCGCCGCAGAATCTCCTGGTCTGCAGCACAGAGAACATGGCAGTGAAGCCACTGATATGGTATCCTTCAGTTTTAAAGTGCTACTCTAAACTGATACGATGACTATGTTCAAAGAGTAAAACAGAGAGGTCACTATGTTTTATGTTAAACTTAGTGAAATGGTAACATGTTTGCAGTTTTAATTACTAAGACCTAATTTAAAGCATAAAATCAAGGACCAAACAATGAATTATCAACCCTCCATCTATTTTCTATAACCATGTGTCTAGTACAGAGTCACAATGTGCCAGAAAACACAAGCTAAGGGGAACCTGGACAGGATGTCCTGTTCACTGAAGGGCAGACACACACACACACACAAAAACACACACACAAACACAAACACACACAAACACACACACACACACACACACACACACAAACATACACCACAAAATCTAATTTTCTGGCATTACTAGGATGTACTGTTAGAGGAGTAAACAATAAAAAGTTCCTACTCCAGAAAAAGTTACACATCTGTAGACCGGTTGCTCAGGATTTTTCAGAAGTTAAACATTCATACAATATCTGTGCATTGTATTTTGGGACTGCAGGAAATAAAGGGCCAGACTGAGTAGTCAGATAAATATTACATTTGCATCTAGGAATCCTTCATAGAGAATTTGTAAATATTAAAAAACTTAAGTTATTCACATATCTAGCTGCTTGACCTGGTCATTGTCATGGGGGGAGGGGGGTGTAGCAGGGAGCACAAGACTGGGGTACACCCAGGGCCCCACTGCAGGGCAGGCAGGCACACACACACTGTGCAACCTGGAGATGCCAGGTAGCCTAATGGCGTGCTTTTTAATTGCAAGAGAAAACTGTACCCAAACATGCAAGCTCCACCTAATACAGAGGGATTTGAACCTGCAGCCCTGAATACGTGAAGCAGCAGCATTAACCACCAAACCACCACATCATGTGCATGACTGATAAATTAAACTTGTAGGAAAGTCAGTGTTTATTATCACCATATACTTGTCCTGTTCTATCTAGAAGCCACCCTGCTTACAAGTAAAGCCGTTAACACTGTTAACACTCTAACTTTCTTTTGAGCTGATATTCCTTATTCCAATTTTCATTCATTCATTCCCTTATTTATTTTTGCATGTCTTATATTAATTATGGAAAAGTCTTGAGTCACAAGCACTGTGATGCGGTTCCTCCTTTGCGGATGGGGTGTGAGTGAGGCGCCTTGCTGGCTGCAGTAAGAGGCGTCTCTCCTGACTGAGCCCACCTGTAATAAGTGCATCTGGGCGTGACTGCTCCTTCCTCCAGGCCGGCACAAACACAGTGACGTCCCTGTGTCCACGGTCCCGAAACCAGTCCACTGCCAGCTGGATACCTCGGCAGGAAAATACTTCTTTGTTGCCATGGCTACAGAGAACACAAACAAAAGTGTTTTGAATCCTGGCATGTTTGTATCCTGCCCAAGTAAATGTTTTATGGTTATGCACAATGACTCATATTGTTTTAGCCACGTGGAGCCTTTTCTGGATGGAGTGTTATAGGCATGCAGTCAAAACCTATGTGTGACAGTGACGGGGCACAAGTTAATGCTTTCCTAAGCAACATTCAAATGTTTGAATAGGGTGCTACTGTTACACCCTTGTGAGATGTAATATACAGAATGATCACACTAACAACCAAGTGGCATAAACAAAACAAAGTCACATGTGGCCACTAAACACGTGTATGATGCAATGTGCTCAGTATCAGAATAGGCTCACAGCTTAGACCTTCTAGCCAACAGCTGTTACACGTTTAATCATAATCAGCACAGACATAATGCCACTGCGCTACACCACTGTACGCACACGGCTGAGTACCAGGAGAAATTAATGCAGAATTCATAGGAATCACTAGCAGCAATATAAAAACTATCCAATGTGAGGGCTTTCATTCATCTGCACAAGATGAGGTACATCACACACACACACACACACACACACACACACACACACCTGTACTCATATCTTTATGGAGACTGTCCATTCATTTCTATGGACAAATCCCTAATCCCAGCAATGTCAACCTTAACCCCTACCCAGCCCTAACCTTAACTATAAGTAACCAAACAAAATATAAGTCTTTTGGCATTTACAGTTTTTTGATTGCAGTCACAGACCTTTGTGGGGACCTGAAAAGTGGTCCCCACAACATCAAAAAACAGGTTTTTATGACATTGTGGCAGACATTTGGTCCCCACAATGTAATATAAACCTAATCCACACACACACACACACACACACTTGGAGCCTATGCCAAGCAAGCTTTCTCTAAGTGCCACAAGGCTCCGGACACCTGGATGGGTTACCAGTCCATTGTAGGGGACACACCTTCACAGGTACTCACACACAGTCACATATTACGGGCGATTGAGGGACTAATTAGCCTAAGTGCACATCTTTGCAATGCAGGAGGAAACTAGACACTCAGGACACCCATGCAACATGCAGACTCCCACAGAGCAGGGCCAGGATCCAGACCCCTAACCCTGAAGATGTGAGCTAACAGTGCATGTCACCCTAATACACAGGGTGGCCCGTGTTAAAATAGGCCGGCATCTTAAATACTAGACAGAAGACACGATACTAGACAGAAGACACACGTATGAAGAGATAGAAACATACAGGTATATGAAGATAATTACAATATTACAAAATTGACATGTATATGTTTAGGCATTTCAGTGTATCTGATGTTTTTTTTTTCATTTTTAAAGAAAATACACAAAAATAACTGGATCTCACTGTGACCAGAAAAGCAAAGCTAATCCACCAGCCTCCTCATCAGCAGCCCTGCAACTATGAATTCAAGGCTGATCAAGGACAATATTCACCACATGTTTGCAGAACTGATGGATCCACTTCACACCAGTGCAGAAGCAGAACAAGCAGAATCACTACACAGCTTCCAAGCTGAGAAAAGAGCAGCTGACAGTCTGACTCTCAACTGTACACATCTTTGTATAAAAGCAGCTGCTAAATAAACAAACTGAAATTGTATTCCACCAATAAGGATACAACGTCCCCCTTATCCCAATCCTCCCAAAAACTGCAGTTAGTCTAGCAGTAAAATCCTTTAGCGACCGTAACTCTAACTCCACATACTGCAGCCTACCCTCAATTTAGGTTACCAATGCATTCCTCCCAATTGGAAATTCAAAACATTTTAAATGGAAAAAACGGTTTCCAGCTCAAATGGAAAAAACCCTGACAACTTTCCCAAATATCAGTAGAACAACGAAATTGTTACAAATACTTACAAATTACAAATTTTGCTATTTTTACTAGTAATAAAAATTTTACTATTTACTGTTACAAATAATAAGCAATAATTTGAAATAAAGGCTTCTTTGGTTGTCAAGTTTCACTGAGGAAACTGGTGCCTAATACGGTTTTAGCCGAACGTTATGCTACACCTATCACATAAATCACAGCTTGTAAAATTGTTTAGTATGTTATTTGGCTGAACAACATTATATCAAGGAAATTATTCCTTAAAAACTATATTCAAAATGTAACTCATTATGAAAAAAACCTAAGCTGAATTACCATAAATGGAAAGATTGCTGTACATGTGATGAAACTGTCTGATTCTCCAACATCAAGCAGCCACTGACCCTCCTTTGGTTTCCGCTCTGCTGGAAACTTGCAGCTTTTTAATACAAATTTTTTCTATTTTGCTCTGAAGGCTAAACTGTAATGTTTCAGTATTATTCCTTGTTGGTCCAGTGCAGGGATGTTGGAAAGGCCAGTATACAATAATCAAACAAAACAAAAACAGAATAATGAACAGACCAAAATGAACTGAAGAAAAAAAAAACAAAACAAACCAACATGAGCCAAATTCACTGGTGTATAAAATTATTTCAGTTTCCTGGAAAATTAAAAGGCAAATGACATTTTCCTGCAGCACATCTACGCAGCTCAGCAAGGGAACTTAACTCTAAGCAGGAGAGCAAACACTGACATGGGGGTGGGGCATGGGGGCGGGGCACAGCACGAAGGCGCTCACCTCATGGCCACATTGCTGCCATCCAGCACTACTGGCCGCAGGTTGTCCGTGTCATCTGGGCTCTCTGGGTAGATGGGGGAGTCGGACCGGAGTGAGTTGGAGGCAGAGCGGAAGACACCAGAAGGGGAGGAAGTGGAAGAGGAAGAGGAGGACGTGGCAGACAGCGAGGCAGAGGGCAACGCTGCTGTACCACACCCTGGCTCAGCCTCTGGTTTGCTGCCCAGTTTGACCAGTTCCCCCAGAATATCATTAATCAGTGCCCCAGGCCCAAGTTTGCTTAGCACCAGTTGAACCAGTTCTTCGCTGTAGCCCAGCTTTAGCGCAAACTCCATCTTGGTCTGGTACTCCCTGGCCATTTCAGCCTGGTCGGGCTCCTCCAAAGGGACCACTGAAGACTGAGGAGTTTCTCTAGGTGGTGCTGCAGCTGGGTCTGGGTCAGGCGAAGGGTGGTCACCATGGCTGCAGTTGCTAGGCGCCCGATCCGCCTCATTGTCAGAATCGGCACTTTCCTCAGAGTCCCCCAGGGAGGTGGAGGAGCAGATGTCACTCACGTGGGCCACACCCATCTCCACAGCAGCTGAACCAGGGTCGCCGCTCGCTCCAGACTGGCGATCCATAGTTTCCACATGGAGGTAGTCCAAATCCAACCCCAGGTCCAGGATGCGGCCTACCCCATCCTCCAGGTGGTCCTTGAGGCCCATGAAGCCGTCGCTAACATCCAGATCGGGGCCCCCGGTGGTGCCTCCGCGCCCGCCGTGCCCACCCCCGCTCTGCGTCCTCGACTCCTGAGAGACCACAAGAATCGGAAGCAGGTTCAGAATCAGCTTGACTTTTTAAATTACATTTACAAAAAAATTCACTTGGGTGTTTCTTGGCATTGAGACTTTTCATACATTCCTTACATGTCACACTTCAACTTATATAATTAAGACATCAAGTGTAGACAGATATTTTGTGCAGACAGATCAAGTACACTTAGATGACAAGCTTAAGGTAAAATGCGTTTGTAACAACCAGTCATGGATGAATACATGGTAACGACAGACTCTGGCTAGGAGGGCTAGTTCGGCAGCATAACACAGACCGCAGCTATATTGGTGTTGAGTGGTTTCACTTCTGATTGGCTAATAATGTTTTTAAAAAGTGACAGTGACAAGACTTGGTAAGATCAGCTATTTATTTTCATGCTCTGGAGTAGGGCTGAACGATTTGGGGAAAATATCTAATCGCGATTTTTCTAACAGACATTGCGATTACGATTTGATTTGCAATATAATTTTTTATGTCAAGCTTCAGTTCAATATTCAGTGTCAATATTCTAATGCAAGGATGAGAATTTAAAGATGTGGTGTGTTAAGTTAAATAAAGTAATAATGAAAATAATTGCAGCAAAAAGAAAAACAATAGCGATCTTACAGGTAATGATGATTACCCCCCTAATAGAATTACTTCAAGTTTACAAGCCGCGTCGTCCACTCAGGTCACAGAATGCAGGTTTTCTTGTCGTTCCACATATAAATAAAGTGAGAGTTGGCAGTAAAGCATTCTGCCATATTGTAGAATGGTTTACCAGCCTATGTTCGGGATGCTGATTTGGTCTCGGTCTTTAAATCTTGACTGAAGACCCATTACTTCAGTTTAGCTTATCCGCAACTTAACACACCATAATTATGGCTGCTGGTGCTGCTGTACATGTCATTTTTATCTACTATGTTTGTCCGTTTATGTGTCAACGCATGTTCTGACCATCCATGCTCTCTGCCTGCCCACATTTCCGGGTGGTGCCCGGGGTGGGCACCATCTGAGCTGGAGTCCTGGTTCAGTCCCATGAAGGGGTGACATCGCAAATGGGCCATATGAACTGTATCATCGTGGGTGCAGCCTTCAGTGCCACCCGACACAGCCCAACGTGGAGAAAAGACCTTAGCTACCCCTCAGAGGCCAACATGGATAACGGACTCATTGATGGACTTTGCCTTCATTCTTAATCCCAGCATATACCTCCCTTTTAGCAAGCATTTCCACTCGTTTCTCTTCTCAGTAATGTTATTATGCCCGGGGGGGGTTGGGCAGCCTGTTGAACTTGGACCCCCAGAGTTTTGTTTTCTACCTACTTGGGAGTTTTTGGTTCCTCTCCTCCGTTGTCTTTGTCTATTCAATTTCATTCCTTCATTTTTTCCCCCGTTCTGTATCTCCCTCTACTTCTGTTTCATGTATCACAACACAACCCTGTAAAGCGCTTTGGGACAACTCTGTTGTGAAAGGCGCTATATAAATATAAATTGAATTGAATTGAATTGAATTAACACTAGAACCGCCTTTTCCCACGCCAATGAACAAGCAAGAACTACTTCGGTGTATGCAGCCCTTTTGTTTGCGCTAATGTGTTATTAGTGTTAATAACAGCAGTGAATCTAACACTCTCAACCAAAAAGCCATAATGTTCATAACAGAGTGGCTGTTCTGTCCTGAAACCGTAAAATGTTGAATAAATATTAGTCGTTTATTGGTGATTTCATGTTGGTCGAAGTTTCCGCTTTTTAACAACTGTATATGGTTATTTTCTATACAAATCAATTCAGGTGAAACAAAAAAATGTATGTGTTCAGGGTTGCAAACTCAGATTCTCACACAAGAAATCTTACGGCAAATCTATATTCCATTCTGAACTTAAAATTAGCTGCATCAAAAACATTACGGCAGTTTGCAAACCCTACAGACTATTTACAAGGTAATAAAACTTACATAGCCTACATGAAAATGTGTGTGCAGAACAGAGAACAGAAAATCTCACTCCATGCAGCTGACCAAAGTTGCCAACCCTGCATTTTATTTGAAAAAGTAAAATGCAGTTTTCGACTGAAGTGGCTAATCATTCCTTTGCTTTGTTACTCGGACAAATACAAAACGAATGAATAAACATTATATGCATCTCTTTTTTTATCTTTTCTAAATAATAAGGCCACATGCCCATACCCAACTGTAATAGCGATTAAAGCGATCTATTCTTTTAGTATTTATGTTAAAGCGAGGTTTTTATTTTATTACCGTTGTGGGATTAAGATTAATTTCACAAGATTTATCTTTCGAAACACTTAAATTAAAAAGCACATAAACATATGACATAAACACGACTGTATTATGGGTTTTATGACTTTCTTGGGGGCCACCGACTCCGCTGCTGTGAGGATTACTGACTGTCTCATTTTTGTTTTGATGGGTTAGCAGTATGCTAATGCTATTGCTGAAAAGTGTGATACGCTGAAGTATGTCGCTGCTGGTGTTTAAAAGGAGGTCGCCGGTTCTACTGATGATAGGACCTTTCTGATACAATCTTGGACCATGAAATAGGAAGGAAATTCACTTATAGCTCAGCAGCGGAATCGGTATTTTTTTCCGCACCGTGAATGCAACATTTTCCTTGGGTTTTACATGTTTGCAGTTTGTGGGCCTATACACCTTCATGGGCCACTTCTGATTGGCGAGTTTGACGAGAAGCACTTCGCTTGTTATTGGTGAGAATGACTGTCACACAAGGAGCACGGCATGAATTTGTAAAACTATTCTCACAACAGTTTTAAACCCTGGGTCCGGTGTGCTGTATAATGTATACCCTAAACCGCAGCCTTTGGGATTCGCTAATCACTTTGTTTCAAAATGCGATTTCGATTTGAAATCGATAAATCGTCCAGCCCTACTCTGGAGTTGGTCAGAAAGCTGACAGTTGATGACCCCCTTGCAGATCGGATGACACACTGCAGCGAACTGCTGGAATGACCACCCCGGTTTGCGGTGCTGACCAGAGGATGGTATAAAATGTCCTGAATGGCAGCTCTGCACTATGATGGGAGTGCATCGTCTGCTGTGCTTTCTTTGTTATGGTCATGAGCACAGAGACAAAGCACACACACAACAAGCTCTGTTATAAAAGGAATGACTACCCAACATGTTGGCACATACTAGAAAGAACACCATTTAATGTTCACCCAAGCCTGAACTCTCAGCCCATTCTGCCTCAGCTATTTCAGCCCAGCTCTCCCTCTATTTAAAAATCTCCCTCTATCTTATAGTTTTTTTCTTTAAGCGCCACTGCTGGAGACATTTGGAAAAGGTCAAACTGGGCATGTTCCTCTTTAATAATGACACATTTATTGCAGAGATTTTTATTCTGTCATCACCAGTCTTTGTTAGCTGAATATGTCTGAATATATTCCTATCACAAGACTAAAATGTCACAATTAACAGAGTAGAAATTGCCTGAAACTGGCATGGTCACACATGGCTGTGATCTGTAGCACTAGACATATTTGGCTGAAAATCAGGTACAATAAATCTGCTGTGAGCCACAGCCCAGGGATAGCTGTGCTGACTCACTTCCACCTCAAAGGAACTGGCCAAAAACACAGCTGCTTTCCTCCAGTTCAGGGGTAAAACACTTAATGGTAATTACTGATAGCCATTGCCTTAAAGCAAAACATAGCATGCTACTTCAGGATGTATATAAACAATAGAAAGGACCTCTGTGCAATGGTCATTTGAGAATATAAACAACAGAGCCAATCACACCCACCCACCCACTGCAGTGAACTGGCAGATGTTCCAGTTCACTGCCTAATTGCTTTATTTCATGCTTTTTAACAGTAGCAGCACACTGGAAAACACAAGCATCAGTCCTTATTAATGTCATGCAGCAAGAGATGTTCCTTGCTGATGTGCCTGTTATCTGGAGGCACCCTCCTTCCTTAGGGCCACAGGGATTCCCCTTTTCTGGGCTCCACACGACCTGCAACTGGCTGCATGTTGTATATGTCCTGAACATTTTACTGCCTGATGCAACTAGGAATACCCACAATTCCAATGATGAAAAGATCGAAACTATTCACAGTACAACATATAAAAAATCATTTTAAAGGTATGTCATGTTTCAAGTGAAATGGAAAAGGAAAAACTAAAAAAGAATGCCACCCACATATCCAGCAGAAGGTCTTGGGGGACCGGACACTGTTCCAAACAGCTGGGGGCACTAAGCAGCTGAAAAGCGTCTGTTCTGAGTCTGATACAATCGCCCTTTTACAGCACTGCTACGATACTGCTGAGTGTATCAAGTATTTTTCTGCATCACTAACCAGACAACGTACCCCGAAAGAATGTCTTAATGGTGCTACAGCTACTCAGAAAGACATGACAAAATGCCAAAAGCCAAATATAATATCGTTGCATGAAACCACTCCAACTATCAATTGTGGTTTCAAGACAAAAAACCGCAACAGATAGTTGTGTCATTGTGCATGGACTTCTATAAATATGTATAATGTTTATACACACACTGTATTTACTGCCACACTTATCCATAAACATTTATACTACTTCTGATATCTTATGCAAATTCAGTAAAATTCAGCTAAATACCACCACTGGCAGAAAACCATTTGTAAGCCCTAAACAAGTAAAACAACTATCCCAGGAATCTATCACAGTAACATGACTACAAACACATACTAGCCCTGGATCTCATTCCCACCAGAACTGGTAGCAGCATGGCTGAAGGAGGCAGGTCTGCTGCAAAGGTAGAGCTGATAGCACCCACTGGACACCCAGGTGAGCCGTGCATTAGCAGACGGTCCCTCATGCTGCCAAACAGGCCGTTCTAGCAACCGGAATCAGAGTTCTTATGCATCTTCATTTTGAGGTATTTCCCTGTAAATGCCATGACAGAGCTTAAATGATCCACCCCCACCCCATACACAAAAAGGAATGTACAAAGGAGACAGGGGCGTGTGTCTGGCTAG